AAAGCCAGTTATGAGAGAGCGAAATCCGAGAGATCTCCGAGATGTTTTGGGTGACTTTCTTTAATTTCACATGGATACAAGGAGGCTGAAATGGCAGCAGATAGAAATCTCGACAACAGTCCTCTCAGTCTACTCTCCTGGTCTTTGACTATGAATCGGAAGTCAGGCCATGATTGCCTCAGGCGTGCAGCATAAGTTGCATGATCGGTCATCCTTGATAAGGTAAATTTCAGGTATGGTAATGACGCCGCCATGACACCAATACCCGCAGCTGATTGGCTAGTTGCCGATGCCGAGCCAAACACCGCTGTTCCCCCGCACCGCCCCGTGATTGGCACCGCCTCAAGGGAGCTGAGGTGCTTGTCCACAGCGATCTCGCTGGTGAAGCCATTTCAGTTGGCTAAATGAGAAACAGAAGTGCATCCTGAGCGTCTCTTTTAGGTAATAATAAGTGAGACAGCTATCTTTGATCCTTTCTCCGAGACGAACTTGTCATATCCGCTTATATCCTTCCGGGAGGGTCAGCTTCCCCCGCGGATTAGCCCCCTTCCCCGCGCTCAGCCATGGCGGACCATCAGAGTCTTGAAGCGGTGGCAGACCATTCCAATGGGTCAGCTATTGCATCGCCGCGATCTAGTACTGATTCACGCTCTCCATCAACGCGTAGCCAGTCCATTCGACTTAATCACTCGAATCATCAGCATCGCCAGAGCTTCAGCGAGAGTCTCCGCGCTGCACCTGGTTCTCCGCGCACACGTCGACAGCCGTCCTTCACCCAAGCAGCGATTCAGAGTCTGATTGATAACCCTCCTGCTCCTAAGGATGTCAATCCCGCTTTTGCAGGCCGAGATTGGAGAGAAATCTCGATTGGGGAGCTTGTCAGGCCGGATGATTTGAGATTTGTCGAGTTGGATACTGGGATTGAGGAAGCAACGAATGTATGCTTGATCTTGCATTTAAGTCTTGATCTATGGTTCGCTAATGTTGGATACCTACAGACGCTGATCGATTCCAACGCCCCGGTGCTGTTGATTCGAGAGACCCCAGAACACAAAACGGCCGTGGGCACCTTCGATTACTCGGATCTGAATGCATACCTTCTACTTGCGGCCGGCCTCACGCAGCCTAATGAAGAACTTCGCGAATCGTATGAAGAACTGGCAAGAAAGGCCAGGGATGAGCACAAAATACCATTGAAAGACGTGAAGGAGCTGAGCCGGAGTGAGCCACTGACCACACTCCCTGCATCGGCCAACTTGATGACGGCTGTCGAGACATTCGGCGGTGGTGTCCACCGCGTGGTCGTGGTGGATGAGCACAAGGACGGCGAAGTGGTGGGAATCGTCAGTCAATTCCGACTGGTCAAGTTTCTATGGGAGAATGGCCGCAGCTTTCCCGTCATCGATCAGTTGTACCCTCAGTACCTGCGTGATTTGGGCATCGGGTCTCGCGAGGTGATCTCCATTAAGTGAGTGTGCCTGCTTCGTCTGCTTTGTGTCTGAGAGCATACTGACAAAGCTTCAGTGGTGACAAGCAGCTTTGCGAAGCGCTGCAGATCATGAACAGCGAAGGAATCTCGTCCATTGCTGTGGTAGATAACCATTCCAACGTGGTGGGCAACATCTCTACGACGGATGTCAAGGTATGCCATCGATTTTTTTCCAATCAGACCCTCAGGTTGCTGAAAAAGGTCAAATAGCTCCTCACGAGATCGTCATCGCTGCCTCTTCTCCACAACACATGCATTCATTTCATCTCCGTGATCCTATCCGCAAGAGGCCTCATAGAGGGCAAGGACTCGTTTCCTGTGTTCTATGTCAACCCTAGCTCGACTCTGGCGCACACGGTAGCCAAAATGGTGGCCACCAAATCTCATCGGTGAGTGCTATACTGCTAGCGGAAGTTAAAGGGCTGCAGTTAACGAGGATAATGTAGATTATGGGTCACCGATCCCCTGTCGCCCTCGTCGTCGGGACCACCTACGCCGTCTCACTCGAGCGTTCAGCTTCCTTTGGCGGCCAGCACCAACTCGACGCAGTCACCGCCGGTGTCACCTCCCGCAACGACGACCAACCTACCGGCTCCCAACTACAGCACTCCTCATCTTCCTAGTCCGCCTCAGCCATTCATGAATGCGGCATCACTCACGCATCCCGCTGCGTCGGCGGGAATGCCGCACGCGGTGGCGCCGTCGATTCCCGCATCTGCATTACCGGGAGCCCGACTGTCCGGCCGCCTCGTGGGGGTGGTGAGCTTGACGGATATTCTGAACCTGCACGCGCGGGCCAGCGGACTGAGCCCTGCTGATCCTGCAGAGTGCCGCAGCCGCCGGCGACGGAGCAGTAGCTCAAGTGTCAGTGTGCGCAAAAGCGGGGATATCGGACGCGAGCTATTCAGTCGGCGGGAATAGCTGTTGTCCCTTGGTATTTGGCCAGGTATGCCTGGCTATCATCATCATTTCTCATTTCTTTGTTCATTCCCACTGTCCTTATCAGCTAGCCAGGGATATTGTTTAGACAGGCGGTAGCAGGGAATTACGATAGCTATGAATGATAGCATTGGTTACACGAATCAGAGATGATTTAGTACCAGACTGGAGCAGCCAAACACAACGTCCAAAGGGGTTGGAACTTGAGTCAGTCTCTTCCTATTCGACACTAATCAGTTGCTTCTCAAACTTTAACACTGTCGGGCACGGGGCAGTTGGAAAGACTGGCAGTAAGTTTACCACAATCTCCGCATCCGGTGGCGCGCGGGCTCCTCACCCATTGGATCCACGATCTGCTCAACTGCCCCTCCACCCCGGAACTGACCAGCCCGGCCCTGCGTCTGTGCGATGCGCCCATCCAACCATTGTCCTTGCTGGGAGCACGTTCGCTCTGGCAGTCTACGCAGTCTGGTATGTCGATAGCTGAGGCGTAAGGTAGTCTGGCGGCTCTAGCCGCATTGTAAGCCAACCCCAACGACGACGGTAATACGAATATACGAATATACGATATGATAAGGGATGGACGGGCTTAAGAGTCGGAGCAACTCCGTGCTCTTGCCCAACTGAGCTACTGCCAGTTGGTAGTGTACCTAGCGTAACCCGTACCTACAATCAGGTAGAGCTGAGGGTGGCAACTGGCACTGGCACTGGCCTTGGGTAACAGTAAGTGGCAAGTCAACGCCGACGATGGCCGGGTGGTGTGGATTCACTCCATTGGTGAGATGGAGCGGATCACCCTGATTCACCTTCGATAGGTAATTGGCCTAGTCCTCACCCCTAGTGAACAAGTGCAAGGACGATATTCCGTATTGAGGAATTGGTCAGAGACGGAAGTTAGCCGTAGGGAGGACTGTTACTGGGCCAACTCAAACTGAGATGGGAACGCAAGTAAGGTCGGGATTGATGCCTGCAACGCCTAAGGCTGAAACTCTGAAACCGGTCTGAATGCCTGTGGCCTCGCGATGATTGGATCTGGGCCTGAGTTACTACTTATGAGAGTTTACCTGCCCTTAGGCTAAGTTGCTGTGGACGAGAGCAACGCTGATTTGAAATCTTTACCAGTGAATCTGATGGAGTCACTTCGTGCCTGGCCCACTCACTAGGCAGTACTCACTTGTCACTACTCACTAGTCACTACAACGTAACTTTGTCTGTAATGCAAGGCTATACTAGGTAGGTATCGAGGATTTGCTCTTTTGAGTAAGCAGGAGGATGAGCAGCCCAGAGCTAACCTGTATAAGAAACTGACGCGGACTTATTACTGGAAAGTAACCTAGTCTCCTAACTAGTTAACTCTTCACCATACCTGGTGCCTTGTTTGAGCGCAGTGATCGTCCAGTGCACACTTGCGCTGTGAGAAACTTCCAAGGAAGACAAGATAAGGCACCAGTCAGGCATCACTCCAACTCCAGTCGCCAGGACCAGCAGTGGTTCTGTGGTCCGTGGTAGCCGAAAACAGTGCCAGATCGTGGTCAGTGCGTAAGCTCTAGCTCTAGTGGGGCGGTGCAACTTACTTTCCCTTGCAAGTTGCAACTCTCAAATACTGTACTTAACTACGCAGTATCTTAGTAGATACTAAGTAACAACTAAAGTGATGTTGATATCTATCTATCCACGTGTGGAAGTTGCATATGCAATGCAAGTGTAGATCATATGCACCTAACCTTAAGTACAGTCGCACTGCAACCGAGTCTGGAGAGGCTGAGGGTGACTCCAACTCCATAGCTGCTATTCCAAAATCAGGAGCGGCGATCCACCTGCCCAGTGTGGAGTGCCCAAACTTTATTCCTGTTTTTGAATTTGGCCCCCGCTGCACCAGACCCACCATCCTATTATAGTTAGACTCTACAGACGACATGTCCTAGACCGAGTCAGTAGGTACAGACACAGTCAACTCTACCTTTACTCCGCAGGCTCCAAAGCTTTTTTAAGTTCCTTGTACAAGCGGTTCAGATCAGATCATAGGTACTGGGACTGTCACCTGATTCACAGGACTGAAATGGTCTGTGCGGGAGTTGCTGTTACTTCCTCTCTTGAGTTACTAGCTGCTTGAGGTGAGGTATTTTCTACGAGTATCTATTGCATCTCATGTCCTGATTCTTGCTCCTATCCATTAAGTTATTCTAATATCCAATTGCATGGTGCTATGTACTACAGCTGGCACAAAGTGGTCATCAAACTCTATTCATCCTTCCGGAATGCGGGGCCTTCATCTGAGGTTGCATACGCTGCTGTGGCTTTACTGTTTGCGGACCTCCTGATTCATTCCAAATTTCGTATGCTTGACGTGAGTCTCCTCCGTGCAGAGTTTTCTACTGTACAATATTGTCAATATGATAGAATGTCATTTCTCATAGCCAATGTACAGTACAGTTCAACGCCATGACCTGGGTATTTGATATCCCCCCCGCCACCAACCGTCACCGTAGATTTCGCGCAGTAGCCAAGTTAGAAAAGTCGAAGACGAAGTGAAACATAGTACAGAGCAAGGTAGACCAAAAATACAGAGGGTTCAAGCGGTCGCCGTGAATTCATCCAATGCAACGTAGTCGTCAAACCCAAAGGTCTCCCGCTCCTGGATCGGTGCATCGTTGCCCAATCCCCAAGCAAAGCGGCTAAACTCATCGTAGTCAGGATCGAGTTCCTGGGGCGCAGAGAAGACAACCTCGCCCTCCTTGGTCACTGCCTCGAGCTCCAGGTGCCCTGCTTCATGGCCCATCGACGTGGGCGAGTGAGGCGTCCCCGGTGTTGGGCACAGATCAGGCGTGGACAGGGTCCTGGTGGAGACCATCTCCATCTTGGGTGAGCTCGATCCCGATGCGGAAAATCGTGTTTGAGCCAGGAACGGCTGGTCAGGCTCGGACCGGACTCGTGTGTGATTCGACACCCGCCCGTAAGTGGCGTCAGAGGACGACAAAGAAGCTGGCATAGCGGCCGGGAGACTATGCACAGGAATCTCAGGAGCCGAAGCCAGTCGGTCTCTGAACTGCCGCGTCGGGGTCCCGTTCCAAAATTGAGGATGTTGTTGCAGATGCTCCGGATATTGTTGTTGTTGGAAGCCTGCCCAGAACGGACGAAATTGCTGAGCGCCCACAGCCTGATGGGGCGATGGTGGCGTCTGTTGAGCGGCATTGGCGAGATATGGTGGAATCTGAGTCGATGAGGAGGCGGGTACCATCTCGGGATACGACGCCTCAGGCGTCATACAGGATGACTGTGGGCTCACGTTATACGAGGGGGGCGGCATGTAGTTGTGATCCATCACCATCGGACTGGTCATAGCCCCTGTCGGCGTGCTCTCTGAGAAGGAAGAACGGAGGCTGGATAGATCCAGGCTCATCTTGCGCACGCCATTCACGGGACCTTGAGGTGAGTTGGCAGCACGGCGTTGTTGAATGCCGTTGCTTCGCACGGCCAGCGCCGCCAGTAGTTGTCGGTTCAGCTGCTCCTCGATGTGAAGGTTCTGCGCTTGAAGCATACGGATACGCTTCTCTTGGTAGCGCTCGTCAACTTCCTCATACATGGCCTCGCGTTCAACGATTTCTTTCGTAATATGAAGGGCCTTGCCCGTGCGCTTTTTGTGCAGCATCGAGGCCCGGTTGGCTGATTCCAGGCGAGCATCTAAGCTTCGATCTTTACGCCTGGAGGCAGCGATGAACGCTCTACTGGTAGTCAGTATCACTCCCTTTCAGGTAGGAGGGAGAAGCAGCACAATATTTACCTTTCTTGGTTTTCCTCTCGCGAACGAGGGATGGGGGCGACATCCAGATCCAGATCTGGAGAGGTCATTGTGAAGGAGACTTGTGGGTAATAAAGGGTAAAGAGTAAATGATGGGTATTTAGACACGAGTATATACCATCAACGGCAAGCTATATACGCAAGGCTTGCCTTCTGTCCAAGGGAAAAAGGAGGAGTATGTTAGAAAGAAGTAAAAGAGAGAGAAGGCGAGGTAGAAGAATAAGTATGGAGAGGAGAGGTTAGGGAAGAGGAGAGGAAAGACTTAAACTTTGCGCCCACAAGGCATCGCCCGATCCCTCGTTTGGGGGGCGGTGGTAGGCAGCTGTCAACATAGAGCGAGTCTAGAGCGAGGAGCCATGGGTTTCCGGGGTATGGGAGAGTTTGGATCCTTCCCCGTCGAGGCCACCAAGGACCCTGCTGAGTCTTGGGTGCAGTGTCGGAAGTGTAGTCTGGATGGCGCAAACGCCTGTATCCATGGATCCACGACCAAGAACCCCAAAGCCTAGTCTAGGCAGTGGACGAGCGTTCTCTTCTCCAATTTGTAATATGTATGGATGTATGTTATGCATGTAGTACTTTACGATGAGTGGTAATAGGAGGCACGGCAAGTAGTGTTCCGATTGCATACTCTAACCTATGTACCATATGAGAGTTGAGGACCAAGGTTTGCTCGCCTTGTAGCAGCCTAAGGTAGTGGACTGGCTTGACTCGAGCTGGAAAGATTTGTCAACGCTTAGACACGAGAAGAGGGGGTCGCCTCGTCCTCGGGGGCATATTTCTGGGTTGAGGGAGAGTGTTAACCCCGGAACTCATTTCCCCTTGAGTAAGACGAATCACAACAATCAGATTGAGTTCTTTTCTTCATTGATGGGGTACTTCCTTTGTGGGATTGTCTGCAGAAGCTGATCTCGATGTTGGAGTCTAGACTCTAGACCAACCTGACCAACTCGTACGACCTTCGATAGTACCTGTGCATACTACCCGGAGTGTAATAAGGCACTCTGTAAGTCTACACTCAGTTTCGCAATATGAGGCTTTTGCTGACTGCCCTGTTGGCCATAAGGTACCCGCTAGTCCTGTCGTAACGGTCAAAAGCATCAATAGTCCAGTCTCATTGAACAATTCAGCCTGCCGAATAGACGACGGATTCGAGCAAACTCTAAGAAATGAGAGAGACTGTGCTGAATGGTTGAGGGGGAAATGCTGGCATAGTTTTCCGAAGGCCCTACGGAGTACGGAGTACCCCCGGGGGGGGGTCCAGGGTAAGATCGTTTCCACCATACAAATGACACAACTGTGATGGAGATGGAGATAGTGCAAAAGTAAATAGGAGACCCACCGACCAGCAATCAGTCGTATGGAGCAACCTAATGCAAAACTTTTCCGGATCTGCATCGGCTTTACGCGGCCTTGCCTGGCCCTAAAGCCGTGCTGGATAAGATCACGTGATTGACCCCCCACCCCCACCCGCCTTCCGGATCGGGATCGATCTTTCCCAATATGGCAGTTCGGTTTGAACAGCTTCAGACATGGATCACTCCTTCTCTATACACGGTACCGATCGCACTCCTCTTCTATACCTTCATCCTATGGAATCTCCATGACTCCACATCCTTACTCTGAATGAGATCAACCTACTTGCTGCATTCGCTCGAGCTCGTCTTAACTCTGATGATGAGTATCCAGTACATGCATCCAGGCTAGCTACTAAACTCTGCAGATCAACCGCGCAATCAGTCTAGGTAAAAGAGTAACCTCCAAGAGACCGTTAACTCGCCGATTCACCATTATCTGAACTACGTATGTACCTGCATCAGTCTCATGCATGACGATCTCAAGCCGTTACGCTATATAGGCTGTCCAGTTTCATAATGATTCGATGCCATGATCTGCAAATATTTGCAAGCCACCTTCAAGCACTGCTGTTAGATCAGCCCACCTCGTCGCTTGTCACGGTCCCTCCCATCTTCCATCCGTGGTTGGACTGAACCGTCCGATTCGCCACCCCGAGGAAACTTTCCAGACGCTCTGTCGGGGTGGCCGTTATCAGGTTATCAGCTCTACGGAGTAGGCTATTCGCGGGCTCAAGGTTCGTCCCTTATCGCCCTGTAGCTGGCGCTGTAGGCTCGAATGCCTGTGGCTTCTCGAAAGTCTGACCATTCTCATGGCTCGCTCCGCAGATAGATCCACATCCTCGCTTACTACCTTACTACTCTCATGTTGGCAGCTCGCAACCTCGAGTTTTCCGAAGTCCCTCGCGTCCCACCCAAGACACGGCCGAAACCAAAGATCGGGTCTGTGCCACCGCCACAGCTGTCCCTCATCGCTTCGACGGAGTATCCCAGTGGTTTGAGGTATGTGAGCCAGTCTGCCATTCGTTATAATTCAAGCTTCCAGAACTGGCTAGCCGGCTAGGAGGCTTGTGCGCAAGGGCTAGACTGAAACTCAGCCTTACGACTAGATAGGCCCCATCTATCTTTGCCTCGTGACCGGGCACGAGGAATCTCGGCGTTACTCATAGGTCCTTGGCCCTCGTCTATAGATACTATCGCTGCTAGCAATGCCAAAAGACAAGTAAAACAACACTTTAACCAACCGACTATACCGGTATACCGCTAGATCTCAGCAACCAACAGTCTGCTCTCAATCTATTGGTATGAAGACAGAGAAGGGAGAGACAAGACTGCTCAATCAGCTGAAAACAAGAGAAAGAAAAATATGGACAATCAATGCTTGTGATCGAGCCTTCGAGCATCACAGCTCTCAAATAGACGGGACCACGGAAAGCACACAGAAAAGCACATCGGGGATATCCATTACAACTTGCTGGCCATGATCTCCATTCCCTAGGCAATTCCCAATGGCGGCACCATCCCTTGTTCTTCTTTCCTCTCGGCGCCTACCCTGTACGACACTCTAAACCGAATTTTGACCGAATTACCCTTGCCTGCATCCACTCCGTCAAGTAACATTTCCTGCTGGACGCCATTCTGCTGCAGCGGTCCGATATCACGTCCAGACTGCGGCCGGAGCTGCAATGTATAAGCCTGCAGTGCTTTTAGCATGACTTCATTCCTAGGTCGTAAGTGATGGAACTAACCTTCTCTACAGCCACCTGGAAGTGCAGCTCGTTCAGCGGTTGGCCGGTGGTGTTCGAAAACAGGGCTACCACGTGGATCTGCCGGGGCTGGTTGGGATGCCGCCGTGCGACGAACTCAATCCGTAAAGACGAGTTCAACACTTGCAACTTATTAGTAGTTGGGAGGGCGTTGCTCTCCGGCAGCGAGGAAGCAAAGTTCCACTCGTCATCTTCTTGTGCCTTAGCGCTGCTACCGCTGGCAGCTGCGGTGGTAGGAGGACCAGCTCCCACCAAGTCGAGGAGAGACGAAGAGGCAGCTGCGGGTGATTGGGTCGAAGAAGCTCCGGACGGGAAGGGGCTGGAGGTCCGAGGGCTTGCAGACACAAGAGCTGCAAAAGGATCGCTCGCAGGGGGGGGCGGTGTCGGGGTCGCAGTCGGTTGCTGAGGTGGCCGGGGAGCCGGCGTCGAAGACTGCGAGACCGGTCGGGATGAATTGAACGAAGCCATGATATCGTAAGTGGGCTTGAATCCTGCAGGGGCTTGCTGTAGCGGTGGGTTGGCAGACGCAGCCATGTTTCCTATGTCCATCGTCAGTCGTAAAATTCTACGCCATTCTGTTCCTCGACGGACTAACCAGGTCCCAATGAGATACTGCCAGCGGGGACTGGCTCGTCTATTGACAAGCCAAGTAGGTCATTCTCCAAGGAGCTGCCCCCGGCCCCCGGCGGGGCATTGCCGTTCGAGCTCGGCTCTGGGTCGAAATCGATCAAGGAGAGTTCGTTATTTGCGTTCTTCGAAACCCCCGTCGTAGTACCTAGAGTACCCTTGGGAATTTTGGATGCCGCTTCGTAGTCACCCTTCTTAACCAACTTGTAGCGTTCAATGGTGCGGTGAATGCTGTCATTGATCTCCAGCAGTTTATGAACAGCCTCGGGGTCATCTGACTCTTCCTCGCACATCTTCTGAATCTTCGGATGAGCACTTTGAAGTGCACTCGCAAGTTCCTGTTCGAATTAGTGGCCGCAGAGGTTCAGTCGCCAGCCGCAATCCTCACCTCAAACACGTCGCCTTCGGCAACCCGATCGCCCGGCTTGTGGCTCTGTAGCATCTCCTCCAGGATCTTGGCCTTCTGCTGCACCTTAGCCACTTCCTCAGCTGCTTTGGCCCGGTAGTCGGTCTTGTGCCTTGTGTCGAAACCGGCCATCACCTTCATCAGCCGGTTGGCTTCCTGCAGATCTGCTGGCGTGCCTCGGCGGATCAACTCCTGCAGCTTCGCCGATTGCGCTTCCCGCTCTTCCTCCTCCATCTCCTCAGCCGAACGGAGATTCTGTTGGCCAGCAAATGTCAGTCCTACTCATGCCATAGGCGGGAACCACGAAGGTAAGGACGTACGTCGCTTGGGTTCAGGACAGCGGCATCCTCATGACGGATCTCAGGAAACATGTAGCCCTTGTATAACAGCAGGCGGTGCATGTCGCGAATATGGCCCAGATCCTCCTTGTATCGCGACGTCTGGCAAATAGTCTGCCGCCATTCTTCGATTGACTCCAGGATCCGGTGCTGCACCCGGGAGGGCCGCATTGGCGGTCTTTCTGGAAAACGACGAACCAGCTCATTGAGAAACTCCTTTGTACTGATTTGGAGGTGGAACGGATAACCGCAATTTTTGACGCAGATGTCGAGAAGCTGTTCACAAGCAACCGTGGTCAGCCCCGCACCAGCTCCCTGTTCGCCAGCCAACGAAACCACCTACCGCTAACGCCAGCAATGCGACATTTTGATTCCGGGAATTAATCAGGCGGACAATCTCAAACGCTGCCTCTCGAGGACTGTAACTGATAAGAATGCGCCCCGTAGGTGTGAATCAGGATTCCGACCGGCGACTCACGCATTGCCTTTTTTGGAGTTGATCAGGTCCGCAACCTCGAGGTTCAGGGCGAGGTTGGGCTCGTAGAGAGAAAAATCACAGGCATTTCCTATCGATCATTAAGAGTCAGTCCAAAGGGCTCCTGCCATGAAGTACCATTCGAGACGTACGAATGGCTCGTTGCAGCGGTGTGAGCCCGACATCAGCGTAGGCACCATAGCGGTCCCTAGCTGCCATACGTGCCGATGCTGCCTCCAGGATGACGACTGAAGAAGGAAGAGGAAGAAAAGTAGAGGGGGGCCAGCGTCAAGTCCAAGTAGTAACCAAGCTGTACACACTGTACAGACGGTAAAAGCTAGCTAGTAAGTGTATGCTGAATTGGAATACCGACAATTCTTGACTGCCTGGTGCTGGCTGACGATGGAGAGAGGGTGCGGTACTCTATGATTGTTAGTTCCGCCGGCAGAGCTCCACGTGTGGCGCCCTCATCGGCGTCTTGCCTCCGTTGGTAGAATTTCTCAATCACATCTCCTACATTCATCACCCTTACTCCCATATACTGGATTTCGACGATTTATTCTTACATTACTATTTGAACAAGTCATTGCAGATAATGGTCCGTCACAAGAAAGACAACTTCTCACGAGGAGGCAAGAAATTCTCCTCCAACCCCCGCCCACGCCCAGTACCCCGCGATGACGACGATGGTTCGGCTACAAACAGGCCTGCGTTCAAAGCCGCCTGCTGGGATTTAGGACACTGCGATCCGAAGCGATGCTCTGGAAAGAGGTTGATGCACTTTGGGTTGATGCGAGAACTGGCGATCGGCCAGAAGTTTGCCGGGGTGGTGATCTCGTAGGTCTCTTTTCTTCCTCGCCTCCATGATGGCGTTACTAACGGCCAGTTTTCAGACCAAATGCAAAGAAGATCCTCTCCCCGGCCGATCGTGAACTATTAGAGCAGTTCGGAGCTGCAGTGGTAGAGTGCTCCTGGGTGAGGGTCAAGGAAGTCCCATGGTCGCGAATCGGCGGCCGGTGCGAAAGACTGTGTAAGTGTTTTATCCCTAGTCGCAATTACGCTTCTTGCAGGACAAAGAGCTGATAATTTCTTCACCCACAGTGCCATATCTCATTGCAGCCAACACAGTGAATTATGGACGGCCCTGGCGGTTAAACTGTGTCGAAGCGTTAGCAGCCTGCTTCTGCATCTGTGGTCATGAAGAATGGGCGCGAGAGGTCCTCAAGCACTTCAATTACGGCGAAGCTTTCCTCGAAATCAACTCGACACTGTTGAAACGATACGCTGCCTGTGCGACGGAGGAGGACATCAAGAAAGCGGAGGAAGAGTGGTTGGCCAAGATTGAACGGGAGTACGAGGAGAGTCGCGCAGAGGGCGGTGCCGACGATATGTGGACAATAGGAAATACAAATAGACGAGCTGCACCAGCCGAATCAGACGCAGAAGACGACGAGGAGGAGGACGAAGAAAACGAGGGCGAGGACGAAGAAGAAGCGGAGGAAGAACGAGACCCCTACGCCATCTCAGACGACTCTGAAGACGAAGCCCAAATGGCCGAGATCCGTGCCAAAATCCTCAAGTCGAAATCCTTCCAGAATCCTTCCGTCCCGGACAAGCCGCAACCCGAGAAGATCTCCCGACCGGATCCGACGCCTGTGGAAGATTCAGACGCCGAGTCCGGTTCAGCAGCTAGCGACGACGAGGAATTCGATAAGATCATCAATGCGACGCCGGTGACAGATCGAACGGGCATCATTGCCGCGTCGCAGCGCAAGAGCAAAGAGACCTTCAGTGCATCGTTCTCGCGGACAGTCATCAATGCCCCACAGAGATGGTAGATTACATGCTCGTTTACTATCTCAATCTCGTTCCCCCCACAACGGTGGCATCCGTCCTAGTAGCCCATGCTATCTGCTCCGCTGGACTTCCTCCTCGTCAAAGAGGTCCCTGGGCTCCCCGTGTCCCAGCTAGGTCTGATCACAGGAATCGGGCCTATCTGGTCCGGGGATTAGCGGATTGGCACTATGATGTTCGCAGCAGCTTCAGGCCTGTCTGTAGCCGACGCACGGCGATTTTTGAAAGGATCTTTCTTGAATCTGCTTCTCTAACTTGCCGAAATCGGAAATCATGCATGCAAAGTGCGCAATGTCACGTCATGACAAAAGTTTCTATCATGATTTTGAAACAATAGATAGATGATGATATACTACGACCATGAAATCATATACAAATGCGTCTGCATAAGCTATCTCCTTGCAGGGTCTCCAAGCTAGTGAAGTAGACTATGCAAGGAACAAGCAGGTTCCAGACCGAGGTTTCCATGTACTGAAGAATACTCCGTCGCAAGTGAAAGCAAACAAGCAATGAAGGCAATAGGCAACGGGATATTTGGGAATCCGCAATCAGCAGGCAACTCGCCTTTTTCAGTTATGTCTCCCATGCAAACCGAGCGAGAATACAGCGTCCATTAAGCGTGACTTATTTACATGACGTAGAGGAGGTTCGTATCTGCATATCATTATTATCGTTAGAGACGTTCCCCGTCACATCTGAGACCAAACACAAGGACTACTGCTTACCCAATGGATGACTGCAGCTCAGCTGCGGTTTCTGCGAGTACTTGGTCGCCAATTCGTCCCGGATACTGTTCAGTAACTGTACATAACTCTGCTGGGGGTTCTTGCGGAGAGCGGTGATGAACGCCCAGGACATGGCGCCGGTGGCCTGGCCGGCGATCTGGGCGTCCTGGCTGGTCTGGCTGTCCTTGCTGCCGGACCACATGATGACGTCCGCCGGGCTGGTCTTGGTCTGCTTGCTGCGCGTGTAGGCCTCGTCGCCCTTGGTGGCGCGTTTCAGGAACCCAACCGCGGTGGACACCATGCCGCCCATGTCGCCGCGCGCGTAGGCCGAGACCACTCCCAGCAGCCCTTGTCCGGCCTCCTTGGCCAGGTTGGGCTCCTTGAGGATACCCTGTGTCGAGTAAATGTAGGGGAGGTCCAAGGCGGAGCCCGAATGACACGAGTCGAAGATTGCGGTCAAGCGTACTCCCGGACGTAGTGGGCGGACCATGATCCGGTGCATCTCGTCGTCCACGATGTGACCGGCTTGCCGAAAGTCGACAGGGTAGATGACTTCATCGTATCCGTCTTCCTCGTCGCCATCCAAGTCCGGAGTTTGACCACCATGACCTGTCACAGAGAAACATTAGTTTCGTGTCTTGAGAAGCACCAGGAGAAGCACGGTACTCACCTGAGTAATGGAAAAAGAGAGAATCATTCGGCTGCGCATCCTTGACCAGCCAATGCATGGCCCGCAGGATGTTAGCCTTCGTAGGCTGGCTCATGGGGTTCTGCTGGTCATCCGTCAACAGCACCATGTCCTCCCGCGCGTAGCCAAAGTTCTGGTTCAGATACGTCGACATGTTCTTGACATCGTTGATACAACCACGCAGCTGACCCTTCTGCCCGAAATAGTTGATTCCAATCAGCAAGGCCTTGCGCTTACCGGTGCACCGAGAGTACTGGAAACTGTATCCCTGAGGAGCCCCGTGTCCGAACGCGACCGGATCAGTGGGTGGTGGTGGTGGACCACCCTGGTGGCCGTGCGAGTAGGAGTTCTGATACTGGTTCATGCCTGTGTTGCGGATGTCAGCGGCCGCATACTGACACTTTCCAAAGCAGACGCATCTCTTCCTGCACCAAACGCGATCACATACCAGGCGGTCTTCCACCGTACACCGCGTTACCAGTCGGTGGTGGCGGCTGGCCGTATCCCGACGGCGGTTGCTGCATACAAAGTCAGCCACACTTGCAACATTTCACAGTGAATCTTCACTGATGATGACATACACTGTAACCATTGTGTGGAGGAGGCGCGCCGTAACCAGGCTGAGGGGAGGGCTGGCCATACCCGTAAGGATTCGGAGGAGGATGTTGCTCACGGTACGCTTGGCCGGGGTAACCGCCGCCGTAGGAAGATTGTTGGTGATGATGATGCTGCATTTGTCTTTCGATGGTCAGTCAACGAAAACACCAACTCCAGTGGAAGGCTTCGAGAAGACTCTTACTGATGAGGCTGTGGAGATCCGTAATTAGGAGGATACGAGTACTGCTGCTGCTGTTGCTGCTGTGGTGGGGGGTAGCCCGGCGGGCCAGAATAAGGCGGATAGTAGGACATTCCTGGCGAGCGAATAGAAAAGTCCACGGGCACGAGGGAGATTAGGCAGCAAGACTGAAGATGTGATGAATGGAGAAGTGAGGTGAGACGAATCAGACGCGGTTCTGGAACAAGAGACGGCGCAGTTCAGCGTTCGGTGGTCGCAGACTTGCAGGAAGTAGATGGGCAAGTCAGACACGAGATGCGATGGTGGTGGAGGCAGCAGCAAACAATCCGAGAGCTAAAGATAAAAAGATAATAATAAAAAGAGCAGATCGGAACCGGGCAACAAGTGGGGACAACCGATGATACAAGTAAAAGAACTATGGATCTAGAGATTAATTAGCGACATGATGAAGACTTACTCTGGAGGCGCCAAAGAGATGATTCTGGAGAATATACCTATTATTAATGACAACTACTCCAACCACTGTAGTTTACGACCCTGAAATATCATAACTAATCAGTAATACGGAGTAAACCTCAACTACTTTGTTTTATTATCTTCTCATTCTTCAACAAATTGTTTACTGAACTACACAGTATACCTTACCAGAGGGGGTTATCCATATTCCTCGGCATCCCCGATAACCAAGAAGAATGACAACGGCTTAGCGCTCAGCCAGCCCCATCCACCAGCGATTTGTCATGCATATCCTCATATCATTGTTCAATATTTAATTAAATCCGAGTGTCCAGAATTTATTAAACCAAGGGTTATCCCTTCTCCCTGCCACTCATTACTCGCTACATCTTAGACTGGAGATCATCCATGAACCGTGATCTTCTTCCCTGGCTCGGACAGGCCGAAGGGTCAGCCTCCCTCACTTTCAGCCTTATGATATCCCTACCCTATGGGCTGGTTGCAGAGTGGAATATGAATGCATGTCCACGGCGATTCACGAAAGAATGATTCATGTCAGATCTGCCCGTTGCTTTTTCATTTGGTTGAATTTGACGTCCAATTGTAAGAAAAAAATACTGTAGCTAAGTTCTAGCACGTGCATAGCTTCAGCATCCTCCATACATAACCACACAACCACTATCCACATAAATCACATTTTCCAAAGGTTGTCTATCATCTTTGTAGAAGTAACCTCGAGTCATTGTTGCTTCACCGTCCCCGTCTGGGCATGCCGCGTCCACGTCCTGCTCCAAGGGCGCGCTGGGCAGCTCCAGGGGGAAGACCGCGCGCCGGCGCCTGTGGCTGCTGAGATTCTTCGTTCTCTGTTTGCAAGAGAAAGGATCTTGGTCAGTAGGAATTCACACACGAGATAGCCAGAGTCAACTTACTTATTGTCTCATCTACACTGAGGATCAAGCAGGCAGCTTCGACGGCGGCCTGGATAGCGTTGACCTTGACCAGACTGGGTTCCCACACAAAGGCAGCCATGTTGTCCCGAACACCCTCATTGTCAAAGTCCACACCAGCCCAGGTATTCTCCTTGCGGTGCTCCACACGCAGTCGGTTCAGAATGTCAGTGGCATCGAAACCGGCGTTGTCGCAGAGTTGACGGGGAATCACTTCGAGGGCCTTGGCAAATGCCCGGATGACGGCCTGCTGCTTGGAGGGATCGTTCTGGGCGAAGTCATGCAGGTAATACGACACTGCCATTTCGCAGGCACCACCACCAGCAACGATGGTTGTGTGGCGGAGAGCACGCTTCGCAATCATGATAGCATCGTGCAGACTCCGTTCGACCTCCGCAATGAACTGCTCGGCTCCTCCACGCAGCACGAGCGTGCAGGTCTTGGCACCAGGGCACTCGGAAAAGATGTTGTAACGCTCACCACCAATCTGGCGCTCTTCGAATGAGCCGCATGTACCCAGATGACGGTCCTGGATATCGCTGCATGTCGACTGCGTTGCCGCACCGGTCGCCTGGCACACCCGGTCCATATCGTCCGCAGAAACACGACCCGCACAGAAGATGTCGCGGTCAGCGAAGTACCTGTAGAGAGCGTAAACATGATTAGAGTACCGTCAACAATGTGGAGCTCGGATTTAAAACGTACTGCGTGGCCAAATCACCAATAGGCAATTTGCTGAGAACAACCTTGGCGCCGGTCTTGTAGATGGCCTCGAGCTTGTTGTAGATGATCTGCCACTCGGCATCGACGATGGCTTGATACTCAGAAACCTGCTCAACCCGGACCTCCGCGTTGTCCTTCTCACTCTTCAACTCGAGCTCCACGTTCAAGCACACGATCTTGGGGTTCTTGAAGGACTTGGGCTGCTGCTCGAAACCGGCGTAGGAGAAGGTCTTCTTGAAAGCGACACCGTTGACGAAGAGGGAGTCCTGAAGGCCACCACCAGTAACCTTCTTAATACCGATCAACTTCTCGTTCAGATCGTCCTGGTCAAGCGACAGCACGGCATCCACGACCACTGCATCACCAATGTCAGCCCCCGCCCCACCACGTTCCATTCTGCCAGAGCATCGGATAGAGGAAGAGCAACTTACTCTTGGTGAAAAACTCCGAATTACGCTTGATCAGCTTGCTGTTCATCGCCGTACCGGCAAGCCTCCGCAGCGTCTCGTACTTCTTTTCCTCGCTGCCCGCCGCATCGAGAATATCCACCGCAATCTCCTTCACCTTGTTAACGGCCACAGCACTCGCTTTCCGTAGACCCTTGATGATGGTCTGTGAACTGACGCCTTGCTCCACAAGGTCCCGGACTTCCTTCAGAATCTCGCCAGCCAAGACAACCACCGATGTTGTTCCGTCACCAACTTCGGCATCTTGGGATCGCGCAATATCGGTGAGAATGCGAGCGGCGGGGTGGACGATATCCAGAAGCTGTTGCCAGATGCAATCAGTCATTCTCCTTCGCTCAAGTATAGTTTGAGATAAATGGCTCAAGAACGTACTTTCATTACTGTCGCTCCATCGTTGGTGATTGTCTGCTTGCCGTTGCTGTCAACAAGCAACAGGTCTCCTCCGTACGGTCCAAGAGTGCTCTTGATCGTAGATTGCACTGCGATACAGGCATTGATATTCGAAAGAATCTGGCCCTTTCCTTGAGAGGTATCCGTGCCTGAAAACAAATGCAGAGTCGTCAGTAAATTCTAGTTCAGACAGACAAATAACGAGGTTCGATGCGGCTACGGACCCTCCTTCAGCACAATGATGGTGGGTGCTTGGCCTGCGAAGGCCATCTTGCTGGGCGATAAAACGTGTGATCGTCAAAAGATAAAAAGAGACGGGGACGAAGAAGTTAGTGATGGCTCAAGGCAAAATGAAGATCAATAATCAGTGTCCTGAGCGATCCCAAGATTGACAGCTCCGCGGTGCTCTCGACCAAAATTTCCCAAAGCTCCTCATCGAAACCCCCCGTCGCCAAACTGAGGCGGTGACCAATCAAGACTCGCTCCGCAACCCTACGGACTTTTGATGGTTATTCTACCCCTCGCCAGATAAACATATCACAACACTATTGATGTAAAACCGAATAAGGAAATATATCATTGTTCACTGAATCTAAGCTTTGCTTTATGTAAAGCTGGTATCACAATGTTCCGATTATATTTACAGGTATCTATAACCACACCGGGTAGTAACCTATGCAAGCTTGACCCCCCAAACGCTCCAACGCCAATAAACCCTGAATCAAAAAAAAAAGTGACCTTAGCTGAAATCCAACTCATCATCCGGCGGTCCAACGTATTCGTACTTCGACAATAAGTCATGATCATGATGAACTTCGTGTACTTGCGGAGGCACGAGACCGAGCGCTTCCTGGCGTAACACCACAGCAGCATCTGTATCAGAAGCGTCCTCAACCATCATATGGTAGTCATGCGCTGTGTGATGCCGTACGGCGTCTTCAAAGTTCGAGTGGGATAAACTATGATGGCCATGTGTGTATGGGTCAGGCATGCCATCATGGGAGTGGTGACCTAAGCCGTCATGGGAATGGTGACCCAAGCCATCGTGTGAATGGAATCGTGAAAGTTGCTGGTTTATGTCAATGATCTGCGGATCGAGGGGCATAGTTGTATAGTCGGTGATGGAATCTACAGGTCCTTGAATGACCTGTGCATGTGTTTGAGCAAACGGGTTGTGGTTTTGATGAGGATCGAGTGACGTATTGTCCATCAACTGTGTGGTTTCCACGGTGCTCGGTGTCGACAAGCTCGTCTCATTTTCGTGCACGCTCAACTTCTCCATGGATACAGCGCCGTCGTGAAGTAGCATACCGTTACTGGGTGGCAGTTTGAGCGTCTCTTTGCATTGAGGACAATCTCGAATGACTCGACTGACGGTCTCTTTGATCCTGACCCAGTGATATTTCACTGCGATGGCTGCAGTCGTCTTATTGATTCCTGCATGCTGCTTGAGATGAATAGTTCGAGCAATCTCGTATTGTTGCTGGGGATCTGAAACGACCTCTTTGTCTTTCAGCATCAGCTTATCCGAGTCGCCATCCTTCCCCTCTATAAGCTTGTAGTGGGTGGCTGCACTTCTCAGCCGACTCTTCTCGGCTCTATCGGCACCTCTAGGGTATTTAGAATGCTTCAGATAATACCGGATCTTGTCGAAGCGATCTTGCGTAAATGAATCATCCCCTTCAGAACTCAGGTCGCGCCCATAGATAATTGCATCGACATATTCACCGGGGCTGGAAAGTACCTTGCCAGCATTTGGCACCTTACCGATCCGCTTAAAGCCAAGAGCATCCCAAATGCGACAAGACGCCACGTTGCTCTCGTAGACCAGGTTGAAGACGGCATATGTGTAACCCTGTTTACAGTCAGACTCTTTCGAACTCTGGCTCTCCTTGCGACAAGTAGGGGGTGCTTTCGCAGTCGAACACGACATCGTCGATCTGCTCATGTAGAGATCATACTGACCAGTTTAGGAGCCCATTCAAGGTAGCCCTCTCCCATCAATCGACCAACACCACGATTGCGCGCCGCATCTGTCACAAGAAACATACCATTGCAGACATGACTACTACGTCCGGGGTAATTCGGCCGGATATTGAAGCTGCCCAAGCAGGTCTTGGTCCAATCCGC